AATTACATATATATGTAATTAATTATATGTAATTAAATTAAATTTTTCAGTTACATATATATGTAATTAATTAATTAATCATGAAGAGAACAATTCTTCAGGTCAGCGAAGAGCTCCTCACAGTGTTAAAACTGTCTGGGGAACAGCTGCTCTGTAAGGCAAACCCTAAAGCCACTTTGAGAGCGTAAGCCACAACTTAAACACTCTACAACATTAATCCCGTCTTCTGCACTCCTGGGCTTCCACACCACCTGTATGTCAGAAAAACTCATGATATAAAACAAGACAGGAAAGAAATACAACTCTCAAAAACAGCAGCGCAAGTCTCCATGTTATTCAAAATGCTACCAAGTACTACAAAGCACTATTCAAAATGCTACAAAGCATTTTCCCCAAGTAACATCTTGACATAAATCTTCCCACCCAAGGGTCTACTTAACGGGTTTTCTAAGCGAACAATTTTTTTTAATTATTGTTTAAACAGGAAAAAATAATTTCCTTCTCAAACTCTCACTCAAAAATCTAAATCTTACATAAAAATCTAAACTAATTTGAGAACACATTCCAATTCAGAAAATGGACATAAGTACTTCTGCCATGTTGAGGGCCTTGCCTACAAAAAAGTCACGCTTCAAGTGTCACACTCGAATCTCAGGTGACCCCGCAGGGCCATACTTCAAACCACGGTGCCACCGGCAACATCTGAAAAGATCAGGACAGTGAAATGGAAAGCGCTGCCCAGTTCTAGAAACAAAACTGACCATGCGAAGGGTTTCCTCGGAAAAGCAGCGTCAAGCTGCCACCATGCCTCCCGCACAGGCAGGGCTATGCCGGTTCTCCATAAACATCGATTTTCTCTTCCTTACAATCAACAGTCGAACCCACCCGATGGTTAGGACAGAGGCCCCGGCCAGTCGCCTCTGCCCCGTCTCAGCTGCCACGTGGGAAGTCACCCTGTAGTTTCAGGCAGAACCAGACCCTAAAGTTTAGAACAAAGGTTTTTAGAAAAGTTAAAAATATCCACCAGTGCTGCATTTCTAGCCACTCCAATGGTAAAAATAGAAAGGACCCGTCGAAACTATAAGACAGGAAGCATGGAGAGGCTCTCATTTATTCAGGGAGGGGAGGAATTATACTCGTGTAATTTGGGCAAAGCAGCCTTGCCCTTTCTTTCCAGCCATAGAGAGCCTCCCAGCTGGCTGCCCGCCGCCGCAGTTTGTAAGCATGGTGCAGAAAAGGACAAGTGTACTTTTGTCCAAACGTACAAAGAGTTCTCCAAAAAAGTAATCCAAGATAGAAACACTAGCAGTATTGGGAGAGGCACTGAAAGCTAAGATCTGGTTATGGGAAGGAAAGGGGAGGAGTGTGTTTGGGATTTGTTTTCGAAGTCTGGGGCAGGGGTAAGCGTGGAAGAACGCTGTTTTTCAAAACATGCATGAACTCGGTTGCTGGATAAGATTTCTATCTCACAAAGTTCACCTGGGAGAATAGGCTGGCCAGGGACCAGGTCGACAGAAAACAAAGCAGGCCCAATCTCACGCTTATCACAGGATGCATCCAGGCCCACTCACGTACATACTCCTTCCAGGAGCCTATGACTTACACTCTCTGGGAAACGCAATGTTGCAAAAGCAAGCTTATCTACCTCACCTTTGAAACACAGATAAAAGGCTTGACTACTTACTAAAATAAATTAAGAAAATGAAGCTTTCTGGGAATGTGGCTTACAGGCAAGTGTCTCGTGCCTGTAATCTCAGCCGTTGGGAGGCTGAGGCAGAAGGATCACTATGAGTTCAAGGCCAGCCTGGGCTACACAGTGAGACCCTGTCTCAGAAAAAGCAAAGAAAAGAAGATGAAGCTAGCTGAGAACGTTTCATGATAAAATTAAATTTTGCAATTGAAATATAAATCTAAATGATAGAGACATTAGGATTATAAATCTCCACTCTAGAACATTTACGTTGAACTACAGCCAAGGTCACTGTCAAGAGATTTCTTTTTTCCCCTTTTTAAAATAAAGTGGTAAGAACTGTGTCATTTTCTATGAAATGTTAAACTGTATTCCTTCTTGCCATCTCCACTTGAAACTGAAATTCATTTCCCTATAAATATTTTAATATCGTCCTCCTCTGAGCAGGAACAATCCATCACAGAACAATTTGCTAATTGCTTCACAAGCATATGCACATGTCACACCGTAAAGGTCCTGGATGGAAGAGAAGGTTCCTACACCTAGGAAATAGTGTCAAGAATCTGCATGCAGGATGAAGAAACAGATACGTCAGCCAACTTATAATTCATTCTTCTTTTTTAATTTTAAGGAGAGTAGTAAATGAGAAAAAGAAAACAAGAACAGCAGCAGCATACCAACATCATAAACATAAATGAAACTAAGCAAGGACATTTAAAGTGACACAGGGTTTCAAGATAAAATGATAGGAATTAACAGGGGTTGTTATATTACGTATTGTTTTCTTCAACTACGTTGCTCAGATTACCAGATGTAAGAATGGAAGATTGTTCAAACTATTAAAGAGAATAAGAAAATAATTATTAGATAAAACATTAGCGATAACACAGAGTTTCACTAGGCAAGATGGTAGGAATTCACCATGGTAGTTCCATTGCACCTTGCTGTCTTCAAATCAGTTGCTCAGATTACCAGATATAAGCATGCAGAGTTGGTCAGAACAGAACAAATTTTAGGCATTAACTGTCCCTTTCAACATACCATCAGACAGCAGCAGGACAGTTATCCCAGATATATATATATATATATATATATATAGCCTTCCTTCTTTCTTTCTTCTTCTTTCCCTATAATTCAAAGTCTCTGTTTCTCCAGTTTTTAAATCTCTTTTTCAAGGCTTATTGAGGTATAATTGATGTTCAAAAGTTAACAACACTAGCCAGGCATGGTAGTGCATGCCTGTAATCCCAGCACTTGGGAAGCTGAGGCAGGAGGATCACCACAAGTTCAAGGTCAGCCTGGACTACACAGTGTTCAAGGCC